AGTTTGCAAGGCACAGCATGGCTGAGAGAAATAGCTCATCCAGGTCACTTGGTGTTTGACCTTCGAGGCTGAATAAGGAGGGACACCTAGTGGGATGGGTATTACGCTTGATGAAGCTTCAAGAGGTCTGCTAGTGGGACATCAGGGTGAGTCACAGAATGAAACTCCAAGAAGGGGTGAGGCTCTTGTTCCCAAACTCAAGCACAGAGCTGAGGGGACTAGACCTTGCAAAATGGAAAGAATGAAAGGAGCTAGTGCAGGAAGCATGAGAGAGGAATGCTGGGGGCAGGTGACAACTGGACAGTGAGAGCCACGCAGAGGTCAGCCCTGCTGGACCAGGGATGAAGGAGGCTACTGCTCATGCTGTCTTTCTTTCTCCCCCTCCTCTCTCTCAAAAGACATTTGAGCTGGTGGAATAGAAAAAAAAGAATGGGGGCAGGAAACATGGAGATAGGAGGAAAGAGTGAACTGGAAAGTAAAAAGTAATAAGAAAGGATGGGAAAGTGATGCTGATGTGGCTTTGAGGAGGAATTATGGGTCCCTGAGAGAGGAGGATCAGGAAACACCTCAATGACGATTTTGGACAGAAGGAAGGAGAGAAGCTTGGAATAATAAAGGAGAAGAGGAAGGGACCAATACCCTGTAAATACCATGTTATTTAAAAGGAACTGAGCTATATATGCTTTAAAGGTCATCTGGATGATCTTCTTTTCCAGAGGAGGTAAAGGTATGGAAGGAGATAACCTGGAGAGATTTTTTCACCCTCTTTTCTTTTATTTATTTATTTATTTCTACTGCATCATGTTCTTCCCCGACAGAGTGATGTGGGACTCCTGGGGGAAGGTGTGGAAGTAAGGGGAATCCCTGCTCTGGGATTCTAGGTTGTAGGTGTGGAGCTGATCTCTGTATGTCTGCTTAGCTTACCATGCCCAAAGATAGAGTAACAAGATTACTTTGAATGTCCTACACCCAAATAATGTTGTCTTTCAAAATAGTTTATGCATTGCAGCTCTGTATACTGATATCTAATATATTTGACAAATGATGACTGACATTGTTCAAACCATTTTTATCAAATGAAGAAATACACAAGAAATGGACAAACAAATGTGTATCAAGACACATCGTTTTAAACCTCAATTCCCCCTGTTATTCACCAAACATGAACCAGCGTCTATAGCTTGCTCCAAGAAGAAAAATAAAACAAATCCCACCCTCAAGGGACAATGACTGTCTTCCAACTATACTTTGAAAAGAATATATCCTAGCTTTTAAAGACAGTCCCTAAAGAGATATATTAAAAATATTCTGGGCAACGACAACATAATTGGAACACATGTCCAGGCTTTTAAAGTGATTTTTTTTTTTAAGATGAAACACTAGATTTTGGTATGGTTATGAGGGGGAAAATCAATCCTGTGATAATTTCTCAAGCCTCCTATGTAATCATTGGTAGGGGAGATAAGAAAAGTCCCTGCTATTTCCAAATCTGCTCTCAAAGGAGGAGAGGAGCAAGATCAGAAAAGGGCAGGAGGAAGGTCTCTTCAATACACCTCCTGAGGGCTGAGCCTTCTCCATCAGCAGGTGTGAGCTCCGAGGGGTTGTGGGGAAGAGCAACCCAGAGGCCAGCCTTCTGGGAGCAGAGCAAGGTGCCCCAGGGCGAGACCCTGGGTGAAGTCCCTGGGCAGAGCTCAGGAGAAGCCGTCCTGGAGCCCTTACCCAGCCAATGGAAACGCAGCTCTTATTTCTGGGTGGCATCCCATATTGAGGAAGAAAAGGAACAGGTGTGTTTTAAAAGTAAAACTATAAATTACCAGTTGTTATGCTCTATGCTTGCAATAGCACCTGGCCAAGCAGAATGTGAGACCTTTACACAAAGCCATGGGAGTGAAATGCAAGTGGCCCATTGCCTGGCGTGTTCCGAGAGCCTGGGGAAGCCGAAGGCCTGCTGCCCATTTTTTTAGCCTGCCCATTTTTTTAGCCTGTCCCTTTAGCAATTCTTCAGTAGGGATAAAACCTGAGGCTTAAAAAAAAAAATCTAATGGTGCTTAGGAGGAAATATGAAAACTTAGGAGGAAATATGAAAAGCATTCTATTCACCAGTCAACCAGAGTATTAATACAGACTTCCTCTAAGACAGGTATTACTCCAGGCGCTGGGTATTGTCTGCTTTCCCCAAATACCAAGATCTCAAATTTTCATAGAGAATCCACTCCATCATCTAGAATCTTATCTAAGCAAGCCACATCCACTAGTGTTATGTGCACTTCAGGTCTGATTTTAAATCATTGCTGTATAGTTCTGAATGAAAGAGAATGTTCCAGAAAGCAAGATCTTTTACAATCCCTGCTGTAACCTTCCCCAGTTCCTAGTGTTGTTGTTTTAATTCACAGATACATGTTTGTTCATGCATGCACGCCCGAGATCTAACTTGGATGTGGGTTCATAAACTGCATCACTCTTCCATAAATTCACGACAGGCTGTGTTTACTTTCCTCTCATCAGTCATAACATGTTTTTGTCTAAAGCTTCCTTAGTTCTTTATATCACTGATGAGTACAATTAAGATACGGGGCCTCAAATCTCAGAGTGCCTTTTTCATAGTTGTTTATGAGGCACGTGGCCTTCTTGATTTATGCATTATGTACCATATATACTTATGTGACTATAGACAGATTTATAATGACACTGAAAATCCTCCCAGGTATCCCCCCACCTTTTTATAAGGTCACAAAAATTTCACCATTTTCCCCCCTGACAGCCTAATGAAGGTGATGCCATGAACTGTCTGAGTTCTACATTTATATAAATGGTCCATTCCTGGATCCTCATGTAGTGCAACCTATTGCTGGGACCCATTCCTAATGCCAGTTTGTTTCATAGACTTGGTTACTGCATGGACAAGTTCTGTTAAAAAGAGAAAAATTTCAGAGTTGGCATCATCTCAAACGTCTGTGTTAGATTCTCAGACATCTGTCTCTCCGAGAAGTAACTTTTTCACAATCAGAGCTGTCCAACAGAGAAATAAGCCACTTCCGAAGGGAGGAGACATCTTGAAATGGGAAGTGATCAGGCATAGCCATTTCTCAGTATTGTGGGGGAGGTGGTCCAGCTCTGAGGGCTTGGGGGAGGGGAGGTGAGGTTTGAGGAAGCTCCTTTTCCTTTTGAGGAAGGTAGCCTTTGGCTGCACATGATTATTGGAAAATAACACTCAGTGAGGGTATTGTATTTCATAGTGAGTTGTTTAGAAAACAAGTCAGGGGTATGTTCTAAAGTTGGATCCAGTGGAAGATGTGTATGCTGGCCTTTTCAACAGGCATGGAGTACATGGAACTGACTCTGAGGCTCAGGCCATGTGGCTGCGCTCAGGATCAGAGCATGGTGGGATGGCAGCTGAGAGCAAGTCTGAGTTGTACATGTTGACTCTGGACAGAAAGATGTTGCTGTCCCTATACATCAGGCATCATTATTCAATTGATTACTGAATCAGCGCTCAGCTCTGGGCTCTGGGGCGTGTCTCCTGCAGATATCAATTCATGGTCCAGCGCCCTTGTCCAGCCATGAAATGGAGGAAGGTGTCCTTCTTAAGCTGTACCTTCCATCTTTTCCTCTGTAGGAAATCAAACTCCAAGCTAAGTGTGCCAAGAACCCCCAGGAGTGATGTAGGATTTTAAGAGCACAGGTCTGGGGCCCATCTTGAGAAAGCAGAGAGTGAAGAAAAGCAAATGATCCTCTAAAAATACGCTGTGGCCCAGTGCTGCTTCTCAGTGAGGGGAATTTCCTAAAGCCTGGGAGAGCAGGAGCGAGTGTTCTTCCCAAGTATAGCATTTTGGTGAAGTCCGTGTGTGATGATACCACTGTAACCACAAAGGAATTTACCACAGGAAGTGTCCCAGCTGTTGCTTATTAGCATTAGAACAAATTACACAAAGCAAATTGTTAGCAGACATGTTTCCATAATCTTTAACTAGTGGCAATAAATAAGAGCGATTCTCTTTCAAGTAAATGCTAGATTTCCAAAAATCCAGCTTCCAATTGTCCGTGAAGGGATCCTCTTGGATAGCCCTCTGAGGGAGTGACACTCTGGGAGCCCCTGCAGGGCCCATGGGGGATGGGGTGGGCAGATGCTGCTGCTGAGTTTAACATCTCAAAATGGAAACAGGAATGTCTAGGTCTCTGGATGTCTGACCATCTGCTGGATTCCCCTCGGGGGTTCTCAGTGTGGTCCTCTCATGCCATAGGGATGTGACCACATGGCAAGACAATAGGAGAGCTGGGCAAGTGCTCAGTTCTTAGGGTGTGTTTATGACCAAAAAAAAAAAAAAAAGGACAGTTTGCATCCTTCTCCTTAACAAAATGTCGCATTTTAAAATTATCTACTCCTACACAGTCCTGTGTCTTTGCTTTTCCCGCCTCCAGTGCTGGAGGTTGAACCCGGAGAGTCTCACACATGCTAGGCAGCAAGCATTCTACCACTGAGCTACACCCAGCCCTAATAAACCTCATATAACAAAATGTGTGTCAAAGCCCCTCCTCTACTCACTCTGGAGAAGAGTTAGGAAGGGTGTCCTTTGGAGCACACATCAGATGGTTCTCACCTCTTGCTTTACATATACAAATCCTTGGCCATTTCTTTAGAAAGAGAGCAGATATTTCCATCTTTCAAGACATTTGACAATGACTAATTTTTAGTCCCTGGTTACCTTTGGGCATTTCCAGTTTTATTCAGAGATTTGACAAAATTCTCCTAAAGCAATCTCAGAAAATACTTTAAAAAACAATTTTAATTAGAAAAATAAGAAATATCCCATACATCACATAAATATGAAAATAGGTTATTGCCAAATCATGGATCGGGATAGATTAGAATAACTACTCTTTTATTATTTGCCTAAGGAATTTATGGTTTTATTTCCTTTCTTGCTGGTTTCCTTCTTAAGCAAACCAACCTCAGCCCAGTATTCCTTCCCACGTATTTAATATCATATGTGATTCTCCTGAGGGGTTCTTCAATCCTTTTTTTTTTTTTTTTTCTGTTGAAAGGAAAAATCCCTGGCAGCCTGTTGAAGGGAAATCATGGAAACCCAGTGTCCTTTCTGGTAGACCCTAAATGAGGCAGACAGGTGTCCCTTGCCTGAGGTCCCCCATGAGGCCTCTCCTTGGTCACCCTGAAGCCCAGGCATGGCATGTCCAGTCAGCTGCCTGAGGAGGATAGGCCCAGAACCCCAGAACCAACCCTGTCACCCAGGTGCCTCTAAGGCGCACCCTGCTGGCATAAGAGGGCACAACACTTAGAAATAACAACCATAGGAAGACTTGAGGGGCTCTGCGTCTGTTGAAAGGCTGGGGAGACATTTTAACCCAAGCATATGCAAATCACTGATACATTCTCACTTCCTAAGGCTCTCTGACTACAATGGCAGGAGATACACACACACACACACACACACACACACACACACATCTTTTACTTAAAGTCTTCACAAAGGGAATTATGTGCTTCATAAAATATTTAAAATGCCTTAGGCAACAGAATTGTCTCAACTTTTTTTCAAGTGTTTAACAGACAAGTATAATTGGAAATATTTGGAACACGAACACACACACACACACACACACTTTAATTTGGAATTATGCAAAACTATATCATTATTCACTACAACCTGAAGGCAAGCTACCGCCATGGAATAACAAATACTGTATCTGTCAAGTTGAGGTCCCCAAGTAGCTTTCATTTGGGCCAGTGTGACCCCAATGGCCTGACCGTTTATAAAGTCTGTTTAGAGAAAAATGGCCTGGTGTGTTTTACATTTGAGAAGCTATTTAGCTGCCTGGTTTGACAAGATTTTTGAGAGGGATGAAAATTAATTATAATTACAGTATTGCCACAATAATTTGGTCAGCTAATTGCATGTCGGTACAAAAACAGGCAAGAAGAATTTCTTCCCCAGGTTCTTTTCTGATGTGGCAGCATTCATTTTAAGAGTAGTGAGATTTTTTTTTTTTTAAAGTCAAACCTTAAATATCATGGCTTCAGCAATCTGGCCTGTTGAAAGTTTCATGTGAAATGAAACAGCACCTGGGTGAGAGCAGTTGCGTGGGAACCCAGTTCCAGTTTTCCCCTAGGCTTGAAATAGGAACATCTCTTCCCCCTTGAAAACTACCCAAGGTATCTCTGTGACATGGTTTGGAACTGATTTGAACTTGAGGGCACCATTGTTTGTGTGTTTGTAGCCAGAGAGGCACTGGTGAGGGTGGTTAGGATATTTTGAGATCTTAATGTGAAAGTCTAAAGGAAGCATATGTTGGTAGGAGAGGCACCATAAATATCCGTGGGCTGGACCAAACCCACAAAAGTGAAGGACCTGGGTTGTCATGGGATATTTTCTGGATCTCCTAGTTTTCACACTGGCAGTTCTGAATACATCAACTGCCCAGCTTCTTGAAGGAAGTTATCTAACTTCAGAGTGAGCACTTTGCATTAATAAACTTTTAAGGGACAGAATCTGTTACTCACTTCAACATCTAACCCAAGGCCTCATGTGGGGAAGTTTTGTTTTGTGCTGAAATTGTCTGCTCAATTTCATTGGTAGGGTTGGAACATTTTTTTCCCCTCCCCTCTATCAAACTCTATATCTAGTCACTGCTGGTGTGTCTAAAAGAGATTTTTCTATGATGTGCTTTCTCAAATGTTTCTCAGCAAAGTGGGCCCCAATAAGGTGGCATGCAATATTTCTTATGGTCCTCATCTAAATTCTGATTCATAGACAGTCCAAATGCAAATCCAATCAAGGTCACCCTCAAGGCCATACAGGTCATGTTCCGTACAAGGGCAGCTGGTGGAGGGGTAAGGGAGCTGAGATCCTACCTGGCTGCACTTGCCAGCTGAGACCCCTCTTAGGCTGCATTCTGGATGAAGCTGTGCCTTTTATAATTCAAATTTGGGCCCAGAGAGGCCCTGAGTTCTTCTTGACCTGCATCCTCCTAAGGATTGCAAGGTCTAATATTCACCTCTTCATCTCTAACACTGTAGATGTTCTTTTAAGGAAGAGGACATGCCCATCAAAAAGGTGAATTTATTTTGAGGATATGTTTCCCATTCAGTGAGGAAACGGAAGAAAAAAGAGAGAGAAAGGAGAATAATACAAAAAAATAAATAGCAGAGAAGAGGATATCCTTCTGCCTAGTAAATTGTGAATTCATCGTCCTTCTCTGGACACAGCTGCATAGGGGTAGAAAATAAATTCTTTTTCTATTACTTCACGGTGAGGAAGGAAAACCTATTTGTAAATTGAATTAAACCCAATAATAGCGTGTCTGTGTATTTGTTGAGGATTAGAAAAATTAGCCACAGATATGACTACAGAATCTAGCAGTGCAACTAGAAATCAACACTCTCCATTTTCAAAATTTAGTTAAGACATTTTTTCTTTTCCTTTTTTCAAGAAACACCCATGGCTAAATGTCACTAAGAATCTTCGACATGACAACACATCAACACCTCAGTAAGGACTCTGGAAAGGAAGGAACTCTAAAGCCCCATCTGGGCAGAGCACGCTTCCAAATTCTTTCTTTTGCTGTTGTGTATCAGTCAGTCAATAATGCTTGGATGTGAATTAGAACCCTCTAGATGACAATTTCTTCCCAAGTTGCAATGTGTGGGATAAATTCCCTGTATAGGCTAGATTTTATTCAAAGAAACCCCAGGCCAGACACTGAGTTCTGAATAAGCATCCGGCTGCAGTCAAGGGTCCTGAAATTTCATTAGCAGTCTGCCCTCTAGTGGGACAACACAGTACTTCAGATAAGTGCGAACAGAAAAGATCTTTCTTCCTCTTTTTCAGAAAGCAAAAGAATTCAAGTTTTCCAGATAGTGCAAGGCGAGGCAGTCACCCTCAGAGCTGAATCCAGTAAGGCTCACACTGATGGGTCCCTGGGTGAGAACAGAGGCAGGTGGTGCTGAGGTGGATGTCCCTGCAGGGACAAGTCCTTCTCACATCCTTGGAACCCTCTGGGGCTCTCCTTAGGTGACAGCATTCAGTTCCCCACTCTCTCTCATTATACAGATAGCACCCACTCTAAGAGTGACCAACAAATCAAGGAATGTTAAAAATAATAGGCTTTTGGTAATTTTTTGGCAAATCATTAACATAGATGAGCCTTTTAAAAAGAGCCAGGTAGAATTTTTTTTTTAAAAGGCGAAGATACACTCTTTCTATAAAAAAGATCAAGTCATTGTGGCTGTTAATTTTAAGAAGAGAACCTATTTCATGATGTTGGCTGGATGTTGGTAAGGCAGAAGATAGTCTTGAGTTCGTTGTCTTGGGCTCAGCTTCTATCTTTTAAAGATCTTCAGAACTTGGCTTGTTTCAGCTTGTCAATGTGGTAGCAGAGTTTCAGCGCGGGTCCCAGCTTCAGGCCTAGGTACTTCATGATCATGTCACTCTTCAGCAACAATAGGGCATTGCCATCAATCTCCTGGTGGAAAGAATCAGAAAATAAAGAAGAAAAAGAAAAGAAAACCCAGGAGATAGAGTAATCAGATGGTTGCTTAAGTTAAGGTATGCTCAAGGGAGGTAGCAAGAGCAAATGGGTTTATTTACAGAGCAAGATCCTTAGAAAAATTAAAGCAAACAAATACTCTGTGCTTCTCTTCCCATTATCCACCTGGAATCATCTGCTAAATTGAATATTCCTGATTGAAGGTATCAAACATAACCCCACCTATGTTCCCAATATCCCACGGATGGTGTTTGTCATCCAATCAAGGGATAACAGAGCAAAAAGTGAAATCCATTATACCGGAAACCAGAGGTTGCCTCTCCATTCCATTCCAGATGCTGGCATGAGACCCTGACTTCCAATCATTTTGTCACTGACTTCTTGGAGGCCCAGATACTTTTAGCCAATTTACAGATTAACTGCCAATTCTATGAGGAATTTCAGGTGTTTTTTGGCCTTGTGAATTATACAAGATGGTATACAGTAAATAATATGCCTGATTCACCCCAAAACTACTAAGGGAGTAAGCTAATTCTTTAAAGTCCTGGTGTAGCTTCGATTTGTCTCTGGAAATGGTAACTCTCCAGAATGCACATGGCATTTATGTACCTAGCCAGACTGGGATTCCTTGCTCACTAGAGTGCTGTTTACTAGGTCACTAGAGACAAAGGGTAGTGTTCTCCTATTGGGTGGTCTTGTGGGGAGAAGAGACACAGAGGAACAAGGGTCATCAGCCCCTCTCATATGTCTGTCCAGCAGCCAGTATTGATGGACCACCATCTTTTGGTCATTCACTCTCTATGTTCCTGATACAATGACGGGGGGGGGGGAAACTCATCTGTGGGCCCCTCCCAGGAGCCCCATTTCCTAATGTTCCCTCTTTATCCCACTCTTAGACTCCTACCCTCTTCTATCACCCTGGGAAGACAGCCAGATGCCCCCTGCCAAGTCCATTTAAGTGCAGCCTCCCCTGTGCTCCCTGATCTTTGTTCACTGTTGTCAGGTAAGTCAAATATATGCCAGATAAAATGTGGGTACCAAGTTAAGGACCATTCTCAGATCTGAGAGTGTGATTTTATGACAGAATCATTAAGTAAAAATAAGGGTTAGGGAGGGGAAAAAATATTACCGTAACAAACAGAATAATGCCCTCCTCTAAGATGTCTATATCCTAATTTATGGAATCTATGAACATGTTAGGTGACATGGTGAAGGGAACTAAGGTTGCGGGTGGGATGAAGTTGCCAATCAGCTGACTTTGAAGTAGGGAGATCAACCTGGATTCTGGGATGGGAGCAATGTAATCGCAAGGATCCTTAAAAGTGGAAGAGTGGGGCGCAGTGGATCACATGCCTGTGGTCCCAGTGGCTTTGAAGGCTGAGGCAGGAGGATCGCAAGTTCAGAGCCAGCTTCAGCAACTTAGTGAGACACTTAGCAATGCAGCAAGACTCTGTGTCAAAATAAAATATAAAAAAAAGAGCTGGGGATGTGGCTCAGTGGTTAAGCACCCCTGGGTTCAATCCCTGGGATCAAAAAAAGAAAAAAAAAGAAAAGAAAAGAAATCAGAAGAAGGACTGTGGAGAGGGCAACCTGAGAAGGATTCAGCTTGATGTCACTGGCTTGAAAGACGATGTTGGGGGGATACAAAGGAAAGAGAGTGGATCTCGATGCCAGAAAAGGCAAGTAAATAGATGTTCCCTAGAACATCCAGAAAGGAACGTTGCCCTGCCAACCCTACCGCTTAGCCCAGGGAGACCCAGGCCAGGCTCCTGACCTATGGAACTGTGAGATAAGAAACTTGGATTGTTTCAGCCACTCTATCTGTGGTAATTAGTCATGGTAACGATACAGAACTAACATGGTAAGTGTGGCAGGTAAAATATTTTAATTCTTACCTTTTATTCATTTACCATCTTGACATAATTCAGAATTGCTGAAATAATTGTCACAATACTTGTTAACTGCGGTCTACCCATGAGCCGTACATCATGCTAAACACTTTATGTGCATTTTCTCATTTAATCCTCAAAGCAGTTTAGGAACAGGCACTATTACAGTTCGCCTGGCGTATTGTAGGTGTGCTATAAATGACTGTTGAATGCACAGACAGATGGATGGAGAGGCAGGAAAACAGGCACTCCCGATGAAGGCCCAAATGAGAGAACAGATGGGACAAATATCCCTTAAAACAAAACCAAGTGGTTGTTCTGCTCTGAGAAGCCTGTGTTTGCAGCTGTCTCTCTCATCTCGGGCTCCCTCGAGGGTACCCCTCCGGCTGAGTCCAGACCCTCCAGTATCCTCCTTCTATGTCCCCAATACCCCACCGGTCCTGGCCAGGCCACCCCTTGCGTACGTGCTTTCGGAAGAGCTCCACGTGAGGCCCTAGAGCCTGCGGGTCGGCGTCTCTCACAAACCAGACCACATCCTCCACGGTCCAGGTGGAGGGGTTTCTGCTCCTGGGCCGTCTGGCATCCTGGGCATCTGGAGAAGGGCTCGAGGCTGAGTGGGATGAGCAGAGACAGGGAGACGGTGAGCCAGTAGGACTGAGGATTCAGCCCCTGCCTGGGGCTGCCTGACCCCACCTGGCCTGGGAGGGGGTCCTCAGTGCCCTCCAATCCCGAGTGGCTGCTCTGCCAGGAGCAGCGGGGCACAGGAAGCCAGCACTGCCCATCTATGCGAAAGCCCTCTGTGTGGCCTGGGGAGGAAGCACCAGAAAACGGCTCTCCTTAAACAAACAGGCTGACATTCTGACTTAAGAGTTTCCAAGACCCTTTCTGCTCAGTTCTCTCCGTGGGCCCCTATGACTGGTGACCAGGGGAAATGAGTCAAGATGAACATCCAAAGTGGCCTCTGTAGGTCTGTGAGGTAAAAGGGCTTGGGGCCCTCTCAGCCACCTTTGGCTTCACACTGAGATGATCAAAACAGGGCAGAATTGAGGGACCTTTGGGGCCTGGTTTTTCATCTCTGTGGGACAAATCTGCTACCCTATACTTGGAAGTCTTGACTGTGGGTGGTCCAGCCTTGTGAGCACATGCAGAAAGACAATGTCACTTCATTTACTGCCCCAGGGACACACCCATTGCCCCCACTGTCCTGCAAGGCTGTCAGAGCACCTTGAAAATCTCCACTACACTGTGAATTCCTTGGCCTAACCCTTTGTCTGGTCCATAGCTGATCCTGGAGAAATGGTAATAATACAGGGATATCATTACCTTGATCTTGCGGTAGGTAAGTGAGGCCAAGCCAGGCGAAGAAGGGAGGGAGAAAGGAATGATTTAGATGCCTGGCAATATTTAAGGGTTGGCTTTGGGGGTGTATGTCCCAAATAAACTCATCCTCTTTCCCTAGAGCCACCTTCTTATCTCCCCCATTTCTGAAACCACCTCCTGCTTCTTTGCCCCCTCCCACACTTAATTATCACAAACTCTTGGGAGGATACCTCCTGTGCTAGTCTCTTCCATTCTCTGCCAAACCCTGGGTAAGAACCTCTTAGCAACCCCTGCAGTGATTTCCCAATGGGTCTCCACTTTCCTCAAGGTCAAGGCTATCTCCAGTTACAGTAATTCCGTTTCTTGCTAGATGGAGGGGGAGAAGAGCTTTGGTGGCAGAAACATAGGGTTAGATCCTGGAGCCACTCCCTGATAGTAATTTTTTGGTCATGATTCAATAATCAGATGTAAAATAGCAGCACTCTCCAGCTGGAGGAGCAAGAGTGGGGGCTGAAAAGGGACAGGCCAGCAGGTGCTCTAGGGAGGGAGGAGGTGCCCAGCCTGCTCCCCTGCTTTCCTGAGCACCTCATCTGGGCACACCTGCCATGCCCAAAGTCCCCTAGCCTCCCTTCTGCACTCGCAGCTGGTGCTTTGACTTGTCTCTAAGAGACATTTGCCATCTCTCCTTCCCACTGATGTCCCACAGCCCTTGAAGCCCAGGTAACACCTGCTCTCTGGTGAACAATGTCACTCTCTTCCTGCTGTCTGAATGTCACCTGCCCCCCCCCACACTTCATCCTGAACCTTGACTTGTTCTTACCTTAGAATGCTTTCCACATTCTGCTTTGTAGTACAATTATTTGTCCCTTTTCTAGAACCTCCAGTTAAATGTTACTTTCCTGAGGATTCCTTCCATTTATTCCACAGACATTTATGTCCCTGGTCCTCGATGAAATGTTTAGTGAAAAACACAAATGTGATTTTTTTTTTCTTGCAGTACTAGTATTGAACCCAGGAGTACATTGCCACTGACCTACACCCCTAACCCCTTTTATTTATTTATTATTATTTTTTAAAATTTTGAGACAGAGCCTGACTAAGTTATTGAGGCTGGCTTCAAACTTGTGATCCTCCTGCCTCAGCCTCCCAAGTCGCTGGAGTTGCAGACATGCTCACTGTACCTGGCAGAGACCTTCTTATTATAGGTGTTAGACATTACTTTGACTCTGCCGTGGATCTAAGTAGAGTAAGTATATTTGAAATGTGGGTTTGATAAATGTGAAATGAATCAACACACTTTGCAAAAACAGGTAATTTGTATACCAAAGCCTTGTAGTGGTGATCCTTAATCCTATTTTAAGGCTAGGAAAAGGTGGAGGCTCTGAATAGTGAAGCAGCTTCCCTACAGAATAACTTAAGTCAGAAGTTGAGAAGCATTTGCTTGTTTCTTTAATCTCAGGGTAAAGTGGTTGTCTTCTCTTTTTCCCTTCTCCTCTTACTATGCCTGAGAAGTGCCGGGTGCTCCATTAGTGCTGAGAAAAAAACAGCATCACATTTCTGAGTCTATCCTAAATACATAATGGTTTGGTTGAGAATTGGATTTACTTTGAGATTTTTCCTGCTTTTTCCTTGTTGGATCTGGAAGGGTCCCATAAGGTGGTTTGGCATGGGGCATATTGCTGGGAAACTGTTAATGTACCCCAGAGCCATCTGAATGCTGATGCATGCTTATTAAAGATGATTTCACTCCATTTAAAGACATCTGCACTCAACATGGGGACCAGAAATCACGGAAATCGCATTTGCCTTTGGGGCCCGCCCATCAGAGCTCCCGCGTTAATCAGGGCAGTAATAGATGCTCTGACTACAAAGGCGGGAAGTCTTTAGTCCAAGAATGATTCTAGAGTGATCAGAGCAAAGGTCAAATCTAATTTCCTGTGTTTGACAGGAAGGGGGAGAAACCAGACCAATTAATAGCATCATCCCCAGGATCCTAGGGTCCTTTGAGCGAGGTCAGGGAGATGTTTCCCATCAGCCACAGCCGGCAGGCCAGGCAGAGGGGCTGGTTTGGCCTCAAGGAGGAGGCTCTCGGGGTGACTGTGTGTGTTAGTGGTATCTGGTGCCTGGTGCGAGCATTTTTTCACTTTTCCAGGTGGAGCCACGGCAGCCAGGCTGGCGGGAGTGTTTTCTAGGGGAGCCTGTTAGTCAAACAAGGCAGAGAGCAGCAGGAAGCCTAAGTCACACCTTGGGAGTTGCTCCTGATCCAAAGCACATAAACTCGCTCTAGAAGGAAGAAATATGGAACTTTCCAGCAGCCGGTTTGCAAAGCCTTTACCCAGCGCTCTGTGCTCAGAAAGAAAATAAATACACCACCGCCTTCCCCCCACTTCCAGCTGCTGCAAAGGTGTCAGGAAGACAGATGGGTCCAGCCCGACATAACCAGGGCAGGCAGATGTGCTGGTAAGCGCAATGGTAAGCCGCCATGGACTAAACAAATCTTGCTCCTCCGCGGATCCAGGCGAGCAAAGTGCGCGCTCGCTGCGCGCCTTATGGGACCGCAGCGTCCTGCAGCGCGGAGAACTGCGGGCTTGCGCTTGTCGCTGGAGGGTGGGCTGCGGAGGCATGAAAAGTGAAACCCAATGGTGAATGGATGCATAATTAAATCTTCTTGTTTCTAAAGCTGAACCCACAGTTAGCAGAAATGGAACATCCGTGAGTCAGGGTTTAAGAGCAGTCCCAGCCCCCTCCCCAGCACAGGTACTCGCACCATGTGTGTGAATCTCCCTCGTCTTGCACATTCCCACAGCACACACATAATTGCCTTTTGCTCATTCATAATTCAGAGGAAAATTTAGCTAACAATGGAGTCCTGTGGGAGAGTGGAATGAACAATGAGCTCGGAGTCAGAAATCTCTGCCACCCAGCGCCACGTGACCATCCCTGGGCTTCTCCGCTTGTAAGAAGGGTGCTTGGCAGGATCTCTACGGTTTCTCCCACCCATGGTGCTGGGTGATCCTCCGCACTACCAGCTGGTGACACTGGGGAAGTTTCTAGCCCCTTTTTGGCTCAGATCATTCTCTATGGGCCTCAGTTTCTTCATCTGTAAGTTGTGAATATCATTTGTGGCTTCCCAAGAGTGTTTTATGACTCGAGTGACTATGAGGCACAGTGCTGGAACCTGACAAGAAGCATCTTGAAGGGAGGTCCATGGTCTTCCATAGGACCCTTCCTCAGCTACCCTTTCTCGGCTGTTACAAGCCCTAGTCGCTCCTTGGTCTCTCTGAGCTGGAGCTGGTGGGAAGGGGCCAGGGTGCTGGAAGGGAAGGAGAGGGTGGATCTGTTCCCAGCATCTCTTAGTGACCTGGTTTCTGTACAGGGCAGCCTTCCTGGAAATAAGGCTGTGTAAAGTCTATGAGGTGCCCAAGCTAGCCCATAATCTAGGCAAAATCAGGTGGCTTGAAACAGTGTTATTTTTCACTATTTCTGTTTTCTTATTTACAAGACACTGAGTAAGAGACGCAAGGAAGAGATTGGCCACTCCTTAGATTTTAAGCCGGTCTTTCTTTTAATCCTTCAAAACCAGCCACCCAACCAGTGGTGAGGACTGAGGCTGCCTCTAGAGAGGAGAGGCCGCAGCTTGAAGATAGCTGAGCTAGGTCGGACTCTTCCTTAGCCACCAGCAACACTGCAACCCACTAGCAAGCAACATGACATCTGGGGGAGCCTCCAGCCACCCCTCCTTCCCATTGCCCCCTCAGCTTGCAGCTGCTGCCCATTCTGACGGATGCCACTGTCACTTCTCTGAGGAGCCCTTCCTGACTCCCAAGACAAGGCTCCGTCACCCCCTTTCCATCTGATACTCACACTTTTCCTTTACAGCAATAATCCCAGTAGTGATGAAATTTGTGCAGTAATTTTGTTAACATCTGTCTGGCATTGCATACTCTGAACAGGGCCCAGTCTGCCTTGTTCACAGCTCTATCTTCAGATCTGAGAAGAGTCCCTGGCCTATGGTGCTCAATAAGTATTTGTTGCTAGGATGACCCAAAGCTCTCTGAGTCTTATTGCCTCAACTGTAGAAGCACCTGCCATCTTGGGCTCTTGTGAGGATTAAATGGAATAATTTTGTAAAATATGGACTAGACAGAATTGAGAAAAAACTCATTGCCATTCTTTTTCTCATATGTCACTCAAAACGAAGAAGACGACGCCGACAACTAGTAAATTGGTCTTTCTAATTCCATGGCCATCAGGTCACATCTCCATTCCGGAAATATCTGGTCTACTATT